CTCCAATTTTCATCTAGCCCTTTTTGCATTGTTAAACAACACTAGGGAGGGGGTGTGTCTTCACATGTGACGCCGTTGGATCCTATGGAAGGGTTGGATATAGTTAACAAGATTTTGGTTCTACCTTGATCATGCCTTTCTTGGACAACAAGCTAAAGTCTCCTAGCCCTCGCTTATTACTTGCAAAGGTCCAGCTTCTCTCTAAATTTTAACAGTATAGTTTGGTAATTATTTTGTTTATTCCGACAAAGTTACAAATCATGAGTTGTCAGTATGCTGTTACGACCTGGCAGAGACGTGTTTTACTTCTGCAACAGAAAGAGATATCTACACCGTAAGTTGATTCTACCTATTCCCTTTCCCATGTTATTCTTAATTGAAAACGTTCAAGAAACCTCAAAACAATTTCTATAAGTTTCCAGCGTAAATCCCATATGTCCGTAGGGCAAAAAAAGTGTGAAACTTCTAATTTAATTTAGCCTAATGAAGTTAATTGCAAACTCTGTAAGATGGTTCTTTAACAGGATAAATGATACCTTGTGGTGGGATCTGCTTATTGGTGTTTACTTAATGAATTTTGTAAGTAAACCATATCTATTGGATATGCCTAAAAAGCTCATGTTTTGTCATCTAGAACTATGTATGCACTGAACAAAGCCTATTCCCTGCTTGCTCCCTTTTTCTTTTCCTTGTTTGTTAGGTCGTGAACTGGGGTGTTAGTTGGGTTGGTAGCCAGATAAAAAATTTTTGGTCTTAAGGTGCATTTGCAGACTTCACTTAGGCTATGTAGTGGTGTTTGATGTCTTAGTTGTAAGTGACATTGTGTTGAAATTTTCTGTTGCAACATCAACTCTTAGATGGCCTGGTTTACTTGAAAGTTGTTTTTGAATGGTGGTGTAGAGTTCCTTATAAATTGTCAAACCACTTGATCGAGGCATTTGTGTGGACTATGGTTAACTTGTTTCTTCCCTTTCATGTTGTATAGTCTTGCCTATTATTTTGTTTTACCATATTTATGGTGCTTGTAGGGTGACAAGCTAGAAATTTTCGTCTTGAATGCTGAGGGAACTCGACGTGAATATATGGAACTGAGGAAGGATTGACGTGTTGTTGTAGTATGCTGGATCTATGGGTTACCCCAAGTGTAGAATGATCCTAGCATAATTCGAGAGCTTTAATTTGGACGTTGGCTTCTATGAAGATAGACACGGGGCATGAATCTGACATTTTGTTACCCATTTCCGAGTTTTATTTTCTTTGTTAAATTTTTTTACATCTATGTTTGTCTTTTCACTATGGTCTACCGCATACCCACTTTGCTATTCAGTTGCAAAAAGCACATGGCTGATGATAACTTTTTAAGCCATTTTGAATTATGATTATATATGAATTAGACTCCTCTTGACATTTATACATTTAAAGCACTGATACACTATCCAAACTCGTGAAATTCCTATGCTAAAAGTGTACTTTTTCTGAATAAATTATTATTTTTTATTGTTCCAAAATTGGGCAGGGCAATTTGCATTTCCAGCTCGCAAAGCACGTTTATGCCTCCTAGTGGTGGAAAAATTTGTGATTAAGCAATTTGTCAAAAATCCAACTAAGGTCTTGACCAAGACCTTTGACCAAGACATTTTCCTTTCTTCTTATCTTTCTTCTTGGCTAATTTTTCTTCATTTTCCTTCATCTTGGTCATGACTTATGAGAGGAAAAAGAAAAGAGTGAAAACGATTTCATTCCATCTTGATTTCTAGCTTAGGTGAGTGAAAACCGAAAATCTAAACCGATTAACCTCTAAATTGGGAGCTTAGGAAGCTTGGTGTGCTAAAGTTTTTGAATGGAAAGGTGAAGGATTTCTCTTGTAAGCATCTTAGAGAGGTATTATGGCTGTCCATCCTATTTCTATCCCTTAAGCTTGTTTAAGTTTGTATAACAATTTAAATTCTTGGCTAATGCTAGTTATCTAAATAGTTTTGATGATTTTTGGTGGATTTTGAGTTAGGGTTTGGATGGTTCAGTTGTATTCCTTGTTGTTTAGAGAGCATATGATGTCTATAATCTTGTATAGGAAGTTGAAGTAGTGGTTCAAGCTAGAAATGTGGAGTTTATACCTTGAATGCATTAAATTCCAGATTTAAGGATTTCAAATGCTCTGTTTTGACCAATTGTATTCGTGTATGATGGAGGCCGAATTGGGCTTAGATTAAAACATGAAAGTTGTAAAAAATGATTTTTTTATAGCTGCCTGTAAAATTTCACCTCAATCTGAGCACTGTAGCATGTGAAATGACAAAAATACCCTTGACTACCATAGGTATAGTTTTGCGGACAGTTTTGACATTTCATCATTCTGGCTTCGTTTTTCACCTTGATCCGTATCAAATCAGCCTTTGGCCAAAAACATGAAACTTTTAACCCTATGTTTCAGCTTTCCAATGCATCTGAAAACACCTCAAACGGAATTGTGTAGCCTGAGTTATTGTCATTTGAATTCAGTACTGACAACCATACTGACAAGGACATTCTGGTTCTGTAATCTGTAATTTCGACCTAGATCAATTGTGAACTGGATTGAGTTGTTTTCATGAAAGTTGTAACCCTTTGTCTTAGCTTCAAAACAGTATAAAGTTCACACCAATCCAATAAACGTAACTCTAGTTGTGACCAAAATGTTATAAGATGTCGAATCTGCCATTTAGATTTTTGCCTTCAAAACTCGATTTCCGATTGGATTATTATACTTATGTTGTACTTCGATGATTTTGAGCCTATTGAACGGCTATTGTGATGAGATTATTTGTATGTGTTTTGGGGCTGAATTATGAAAAACAATGAAGCCATAAATGGCTGGAAAATAGGTAAAAATAAAGGGCGTGTTGCTCAAATTTTCACTCGAAAGTTAGGTAGATATACTCATGACTTGAATTGTCTAGAGTATTTGAGTCTTGTTTCATAGAGGTCTATAAGTTAGCATTCGGCGAAAACTTGTACCCTTGAAAAAAATGAAATTTACGACTAATAGAAATATGTTTTCTCCATTTCTTCGACTCAAATGGGGATTTCAAAGTTTTGAGAGCGAGCATAAGTTTTACGAATATTCTCCAAATGAGTTGTAATTATTTGATTTTTGTTAAATGAAACGTTTAAGTTTCGAACCTTAGTTCAATTTCAAAACTCTTAAACAATGTTTTATCGCAGACTTGGACTCCAAACAAGGAGTAATACCTGAACGTGATCCGTAAAGGCACTACATCTTTGGTGAGTGCTTCCACATATCTGGTTGAACTGGACACTTGTTTTTAATACTTGACCCATGTGATTTAATGATATGTAATTTGTTGGATCGGGCAAGAGTGTACTTTATCGCACTTGTCCTAATATGATATATACTTGTTTATTGTTGCAATTGACTTGATATACTTGTACTTAACTTGTAAGTGCTAAGCGGCAGCATGTATCACACTCAATGTGAGTGGGAGGTACCTCTCATTCCCATCTCCGTACTTTTATTTTGATTCAGTCGATTGGAGATGTTATCTCATCGACTTCTTGGGGACCCAATCCCTATTGGTTAGTTAATCGAGTCGAGCCGACAAGGACTTGGTCGATTAGATAGCGAATCATGGGTATCTAGTGTTGTCAAGTGGAGTGTTATTTTCTCGACTAATCGGTATACTCGAGTATTACCATCAGTATTTAGTTGGTGTTCGGAGCCGGTAAGAGGGTTGAATGGTGGACGGATTGGAGTTAAGCGAAGTACTACTAGATTGGTTTAGTTAACAATTGAGAAGCTTAAGCTTCAAAGGAGTTCAAAGAAGCAGGTAGCTTAAGCAACAATTGAAACAAAGCCAAGGAAAGAAGTAGTTTTGTTTGGGAAGATTCAGCTTCAAGGGAGTTTGAGGCCATCACAAAGCACTTTTGGCATGTACTTCTATTTCCCGTCCAAGAATATGGAAAATGGCCATATAACATGGAGGAATAATTGGAAATGTGTGGAAAAGGAGAAATCAGGAATAATTGCAGTTCGAAAAGAGTTTTTCTCATCCCTTGTGCTGTGTTGACAAAAGTGCCCCTTCAATTTGTCCCATGCATAGTGGGTGAAGTGTTTTCCATTGAACTTAACACTAGAATTGGACGAAATGAGTATATAAGTATATATATTTGTTACTTGGAGGACTGAACATACACACTTACTAGTTGGACTACTAAAAGTGCACGAATTATAAAATTTGAAAACCATCAAAGTTTTTTGTCCAATCTTAAATTATTACTCCTCCCATATCAAAATTTTTGTTGCACTTTAGGAACAGAGCTTTTTATCAACAACAATCATTGAAGAGAGGTATTCGCTCAATCTTCTAAATGCACTATCTTCAATTAGTGGTCACAATTGAAAATGTTTTGAGTCTTCGGAAGGAGAAAAAAAGATGGGCCCACTGTGCTTCCATGAATTATTAAGTGTGCATGTTGTGATGTACATGCGTAAGGACTATTTCTTATTTTGAAACTCATGCATCTATTTTGAACTTGGAAAACTATTGATGACTACTAATAGACGGGGCCTACAATAATTACACACAAGTCTCTTGTACCTCCAGATATAAGGGTGAAAATGAGAAGTGGAGTAAAAATTAGTTTCCAATTTTGGTAAATAAGAATAATTTTGAGATAAACTAAAAAGAAAAGTTCGACACTTTCATTGGGACGAGAAAAGTAATAAAGCGAATGTTTGAAGATGTCTAGACAGATGAGGAGACAAATGGTATGGAAAGCAGCGTCTTTCTTTTACAACTTGCTGACAGCTAAATCCTTGGATGGTTTGCATGAGCTGAATTGCTTCAATTTATTATACGGTTAGTAGATTCAAACAGTTGATTTCATTGTCCCAAGTAGTTGCCAAAACACAACACCTTGAGGAAGCGAGGGAAAGGAAGGCAGGAAAATAGCATCCAGGATAAATGTAGGTCACATTTAAGGCGTTCCTTAAGTACCCCCAAAATAATTGTTCGATAACAGAAATAATAATAAATATAAAACTAACAGAACAGGTTTTGAAAACTTAAGATCACAGAAAGAAACGAACGAAAAAAAAAAAAGAAAAAAGAAAAAACAATGAAACCTCTACATATTCATCAAGAAATCAAATATGTTTTGGCAGTTTTGCCATGCAAAGGTAGCATAAAAGAATTCAGAAATTCGATCTCTCTGGTCTCATCTGCCCAATTTGATTACTGATATCTGCAATATTCTCCATCTACTATTCTGTCCATAACTCATGGACGATTCTAGCCCACTCCATCATCAACCTTGGAACTTTTGACGCTTATGTTTTTTGACAACCAGCGCTGCTAAAAATGGACCCACTTAGCAATCTGGCGTGCAATCAAACATAAAACAGACATTCAAACCCCTCCATTTCGTGTAACCCATGCCCTTTTAAAGTTTGCATTAATGAATGAGCCACCACATAATTTATCTCTATAGAAACAAAACAGAAAACTTTGTACATAGCTAGTTAATGGATCCCAAGTTTATAAGCACAAAGATATTTGTACAGTGATGGCATAAACACCGTATGTTTCAAATAGATCTGGTTTAATGCACTGTGGTTTAAGGCAACATCTGATCCCAAGCACAGAGGAAGAGCTGCATTTGTATCTGAGTGAAAATAAACCATTGGTTTTTCAGAGGTGCATGGACAGAAAACCCTTCTTTGGATCTGGGCAAACAGGGGCCATTTTAACAAAATGAGATGCTTTCAACAATTCTTGGATTGACAAAACAACAGTCCAGTTCCAACTACTGACTAACAAGGCAATTCTATTTGCTCTCTAATGCTTAACTGTGTGATACATTACTCGTCTTTCATGCAGAAATAAGCACATAGACAAATCATTTTCGAGCCATATGCAAAGCCCGTTAAACACACATAGGCTAGTATCCTACAATAGCAGATTATGGATCAAAGAAATGCAATATTCACTTGCACATTAGAACCAGTCAAAGCTTAATTTGGAACTTAAAGAAAACAGGCAACACTTTAACCACGGTTACAACCCTCAAATAAAAAATATCATATATAATAATTGTAAAGTTTCCTAGTGCTCAAGTGCCCCATTCCAGTTAACATCTCAATTACTAGCAGACTTTTAGTACCATCATTCAATATCTGTTCTTCATTGAAAATGCTAAATAATCATGTAACTCAATTCATTAACTCTTCAAAGTGTAATGCTTAAGTCTATATTGCCAAGTTCAACACACTACCAGTTTAAAGAACAGCCAGATTCCAAACCTTACTTAGATTTCTTCTCAAATTATCCAGTATACCTCAAGGTAACAAATCAAAATTTAGAAATAGAAAAGGCGTGAGCCACAAAACAGCCAAAACCATTTGATTATGTAATATATAACTTTATTACAGGCGTCAGTTATCCAACAAGCCTCTAATCTTGATTGTCTGTTGAAACAGTCTGAAGTCATAGAGCAGCACAAAGAGGCCTGAGAGCAATGAAAGGTAATACCAATGTGTTTTTATTGGGAAATCAAACATCTTTAGGTTTTGCATGTTTTCAAGGAAAACAGAACTCTCACCATTTCATAAGGATACATGGACTAATTGCAGAAGTCTATCTAGAGAATGCAAGTTCTCAACAAGCATATGTATATATTCTTGTACCTTTATTATAACTCCCATTCACAATTAGCACACAAATAGGGAAAAAAAAGAAAAGAGCCTTTGATGACCCCTCTTTTACCTTTATTTTCTTCCCTCAATTATAGAATGAAGTTTAGATTTAAACCAATTCAATAGAATTGCTTGATAGTTACCAAAAAAAAATGTAGCTTAGCCAGACTTTCTACAGTTATGGCATCCCAATACATAGAAAGGAAGTTTGTTTTGCTATTCCTTCTTTTTATTTTCTTTTCTTCCCTCGATAATAAAATGTCAGTCTAGCTTGATAGTAACACAAGACTGTAGCTTCCCCAAACCTTTTAGATAGGTCAAGATATACTTAGCAGAATTATGTCATCATGTCATCTGAGATGGGTGCTCAGTAAATAAATTACGGAGAGATTCTTGATTGACCAAGCAGCAAATCCTATTAAAAAGAGAGAATGCATTCTGAATTGCTCATTTTTACCAAAACCACAAATATTTGATCAGCTTCAGTTTGATCTTGTAGTATTAAAAAGACACAAGTTAACAGCAATGGCCAGAGTAATTCACGAGAAAGCAGCAAAGAACAAAATCAACATACAACATGCAAGGACCAAAAATAAGGGAGATCGGTTTCAGGTATGATACAAAACAAGACCAACTTCACCATTTATTTGACAAGCATCATAGCCAACATAATAATGGTTTCACTACATGTCTGACAGCAGGGGGAAAAAGGTCAGATTTTTGCCCAAGCCCCGAAATCCATAACTGATTCCCCAGAAAAGCCATAACTGATTACCCAGAAAAGAGGTAAGGAAAATAAAGCAAAAATACACTCACACCTTTCTAGGCTGATGTTTTCCACTTTTCTACCCACTGATCCAAAATCTTCAGGAGGCCACATCTACATAAAGCACCAAAAGTTATTTTCCTTTTCAAAATGCAGGATGAAGAAATGTTCTGCAGAAAATTGTCAAGTGTTTACATGATTCAAACAAAATGAAATAGGTTGGTCACAGACTTCTCAATCACGTACAAAGTAAAGCACCTTGTGCACAAGCCACTGCTCATCTGGTTATTATTTATAGGTGTCCTTTACATGATTCACTCTCATTGATATATGATAAATCCATAGTGGATGCTTCAGTAGAAAGCTGAAAGTGGGAGCCCAACCTTCAATATTGAAACTGACCTAAAAGTAAAAACCTCACTCACTTATAGATCGCTCACAAAATCCGTCCAACTACCATCTCTCCAAACAGGAAATTCAAATTTTCTACTCCAAACTAAAGTTTAAAAAAAATTAAAAAGTTGAGAACTTTGATCTCCACAATCAGATTTTCCTATGCAAAAGATCTATAACTCCTCCCTTCCACACACAGCAAAACCAATTTCCACTTCCACGTACCCTCTCCCTAGGCTGCTCCCTATTATCCAAATAACTCAATGACTTTGACAGTAGGGCTGCAATTACCACATAGCTAAGCCAATGCTTAATATACTAGACTCAAATAATTCAGATTTGCCCAGAAGGTAACTTTTAACAATGTATGCATCAAAGCTCAAATTCTACTTGAAAATTCAATTACATTATTCTTCGATTTCACAAATGTAAAAATTTCTGTAAATTTCTGTAGCCACTTAAATGAAATCTTTGGGACTGTGTAGAAGTCTAACAGTGGAGATTACAAACAGTGCCTGCTGCGGGGGAAGAATCAAAAGTTGAGCTTGGATCTTTTAGCAACTAGGCAAGATTTATGCCTGCTGTGGTGAATGGAAAGAATTAAGAGTTTATGGAAGAAAACAAGATCAACTGAAACTACTTTTTTTTTTCTTTTCTCTATTTTGTTGCTTAATGATGATGGAGATTGAAGCACTTGTAATTTGCAATCATTACGCTAGAAAGCAAACAATTAGCTACTACGAATACAAGGAAATCCTTGATATCAAAGTCCACATGGAAGAAGTCTCAATGTGACATGTGAGTCACGCATTACGTTTTTGAGTATCCTTGTGCATCAAGCTGCATGGCAGATGTCCTAACTTACACTGAGCAGAGTTGAGCTACACCATCATCACGTAGAATCGGTTCGGTTGGGTGTAAGATATTTTCCAGCAAAACGTTGCGGTTGTTACTTCTTTTTTTAATCAAAACACAATATACCTTTTTCAGGGTAATCCTTTTTCATCTTTATTTAGGATCTAACTTTTTCGTCTTCTTTCCCTGAACATTGAAGCATAACTCAATTTTTCCCTTCAATTAACAAACCATTTCTGGTAAGCATCTGACCATTCAAAATCTATTTTGACAGCATCCACCATCTTCCTGCTCATTTTTCTCCTCTAACTTTCACCACCAACCTATCCACTTTTAACAATATTTACCATGCTCTAATCTCCTCACAAGTACTGGTGCAACCATCAAAGAAACTTGAATTAACAGTTGGAGAGCTAAAATTGATGAACAACGCCTCTTTGATATAAGATAGAGCATTCCTTGATAAACCTCAATGATTCAGAAAATGGCTTCTTACTAGTTAAGTATTCTCACAACAGCTTTGGGATTGAAAATATTTGAAATCTGAGCATAAAGCCTTAATGACTACAAGTAGCTCCAATCAATAATACATTCCTTCAAAATACCAAAAAAACAAATTGAAACAATACCATTAAATAGTCTATTTAAGTTGAATTCACGTACCACCCAGAAAACTCTGCCCTCTAAGAGCCCATAAGGAACAGGTCCAAATTGCCTTGAATCTCTAGAATTATGTTTGTTATCTCCCTCTATCCAGATATGTCCCTTCGGCACCTACAGTTACAGAGAGACAGTGCACTTTGTTTCATGACAAAATTACTCATAAAAATCCACTCTTTACATTGATGACGTAACACAACTACTTTCTGCGAAAGCTTTAGAGCCATTACATGAATAACAAAATAGGAGAACACACATTAACATATTACAGAGACACGGCCTGAATTCAATTGTACGGTTGATGTGTATATGCATTCGAGCACATATAGCATTAGAAACTGTTAAACCACTGCTCAGTCAAAGTAGTATCAATGACGTCAATAAAAACAAAAAAATGATGCTAATCACAAAGAAAACAGAATACGAGTCTCATTTTAAATCGAAGATCCAGTACTCCAAAGCCTTTATCCTCAAAGGAAAACAAAAAAAAAAAAATCACCAAACGTCCAATACAGATCCATAAAAACCAGGAAAAAAAAAATCCATATAAGCAATAAAAACAAATTAACGCAATGATATTTACAACAGCAGTTGCCTCTTCGTTACCAACAGCATCACCTTCAACACCAACTATTCTCTTGATCACAACCTTTCGGGGTTCTTCAGGGCTCCGAATCAGGACCACGTCACCCGAAGCCATTTTCCCAAATCGGATTGATAGTCTCTCTACCAGGACTAAACTTCCTGTCAGGTTCAATGTGGGTAGCATGCTAGGTCCCATAGCCTACAACGAAGGAGAAAATACCAATTAACTGAACTTTTCTTCAAAAGATTTTAACTTGATTTTTCTGCATTTGAAAAGATCAAAGAAAGTCTGGTTTTGTAGTAATAAAATAACCAGAGCACAGGTACAGAGGAAAGTATTGGTGACATGAAGGCTGCAGAAGAATTTGGCCACCATTAGTGTTCGATCAAATGCATCTTTGACAGTTGGGATCCAATGCCTGAAAACTTGAAGACTCATTTCTCTATACTTCGAGATTGAAAAGGCTTGCTCTGATTCTCCAAAATTTGAATGCTCATATAGTCAGAAGCATGAGACCTGCGTTGGTTTGCATTTTTCTGAGCTCAGTTAGGGGCGTAAAGAATGAGCTTTTTATCGAGCTTTATGGAACATAAAATTTTGTTCAAATTTAATTTGATTAGTTAGCAAATGAACGAAGTCGATTGAGTGTTGAGCAGTTTAATTCATCTTTTAACCTTAGATTCTGCTGTGATTTTCTTGAAGAAGCCTAGGGAAATATATTGCAAGGAAGGGTTGGAACTTTTCAAATTATTCTGAGGCAACTGCAAATGCAAAATTACTACTAGCATTGAGAAGAAAGATACCATTTTCCTTGAGATAATCACTCAAGCTTCTGTACAATTTGATTACTGTTTTTTCTAAACAGAAATTATTATCAAATTAATTAAGGCCATATGTACATATTTTGATTTTCTACAAATTAGTGGCTACTATATATAAGATTTAGCTGAAACTTAGTAAGTTTCAACATTTTCCTTTGATCAGCTTGAGTTAGTGGAGTAAATACAAAATCTTTTTCAATGAATGTTATAGTTGTTCCACACCTATTCTTTTGTCAATGACCAGCTCAACAAAGCTAACAAAAAAAAAAAACCCCAAATACTAAAGTTAATATACCAATAATGCCCTTTTAATCTTATTTGTATCTTAATTTTTAAAATAACGTACTTGGTTAAATAACTTCTAGATTTCCTTTTCTCTCTCCAAATTTCTTTGCCAAGAATCTTTTACATGTTATGGAGAAAATACTTGTTCTTTCTGTTCGGTAATGATTTGGAATAAAACACATGTGTTAGAAAAAAGAGCCTTCTCTTAATATTATTTTCAACTGGGGAAAGGCATACTTGTGTATGTAGCCAATTAACAAATAATTCATTAGAGGAAAAAGCTAGATTGAAGGTTTTATTAGGCTAATAAGCTATTTGCAGTAATTGAGCTTGCAAGTTGCTAGAGAATCGGCACTGATATTAGATACTTTGTTGCAGCATAATCTAGTTGAAAATTTTTTTTATTATGAAAATGGATTGTTGCTATAACATTGAAATTGTTGGAGATTCTAACTCGAGTATTTTCGTAAAATTCAGAAATGGTAGAACGCGTAGTGCCCAAATTTCTCAGCAAGTGCCATAATCATTATGGCCTTTACCCCCACATATAGTCATATTTTTAACTCTTTATAGTGAGAGCACTCATTTTGAGGGTCACATTACCCCTTTAAATTATATTACTACTATTAATTTACCCTCTAATGTTATTTTCTAATCACTTCACCCCATAGATAATTTAACTCAACAGTCAACACATTAATGAATTTTGACAAAAATACTCTTTTATTTATAGCATTACTACATTATTATTATCACTTTATCTCTTTAAATTATAGTGATATAATCATTTTACTCTCTAACATATTTTCTAGATATTTTACCCTATCGTTAATATAAAAAGAATGTTAAATTTTTTTTTAATGTATTTACCTTTTTCTATATATAATTAAAAATAAAAAAGTTGAAATAATTATCCTTTTTCCACTCTAAGATTCCAAAAAGATAAAAATAAAAGAATTTTCTCAAATTTTTTCACACTTGTTAATACTAGGAAAAGAAAAGGAGATAGGACAGAAAGAGACAGAAAATTAGATTTTGCAAAAAAAAAAAGAAAATATGGAAAAAAAAGCTAATATTACCATATTACTTTAATGTCCTCGCGCTTAGGATTGAAATTGGGTAGTAAACAGAAAAGTTAAATAATTTTAAAATAATAAAAATATTGAATTCTTTCTTATTTATATTTTAAAAAAAAAGAATTGAGCTCTTTCTCTCTCCCTCTCCTATTTTTCTTTTTTTTTTTCAATATTAATAAGATTGCCAAGAAGAAAGAAATTAATGTTTTGACTTTTTTTTTCTTGATACTAAAAAAAAGAAGAACCACTCTAAATCTTTTATTATTTTTATCATACAAAAAAAGGATACTATCTTCTAAAATTTTTTAACTTGCTAATTTGATTTAATGATGGGATAAATTGCCTAAAAAATAACTCTAGAGGATAAATTAATAATAAGATTATAATTTATGGAGGTAAAGTGATAATAATTCTAAAGGTTAAACATGTCTTATCACTTAAATTAATAAAAGTTTGACCGTTAGTCTTGGGAGTAGAATGACTAAAAAATAAAATTAAGTGAAAAATTAATAGTAACACTAAACATTAAGCGGTAAAATGACAATAACCAATGGGTTAGTTGGTAACCGTATAGATGAAGCTATTTGCATTGTGGAGGATCCAGACTCGAAATGCCACTTGAGTTGCTGCCTAGATTCAGTCGTATAATTTCCATTCCAGAATGAACGAAAAAGAATAGTATCGGAAATAAAATCGTATAGGGCAAAGGGTGTCTGAGCTTCAAATGATTCAAATGACCAACACAGCTTCATGAAGCCATGAAAAAGACGGAATTCACAAACATTACAAACAAAACTGGTGCATGAAGCCATGAAAAAGCCAGATTTAACCGATCCTGCAGTCACGACCAAACGTTACAGCATAAAGGTTGTATGCAGCTTTAGTCACAAAACAATGAACTCACTACTTTCACATTCTAACTGCTTTCATAAAGCGAAACTATGAGGGGGAATTTGCAGCGAAATACTCAGAAGTAAAAGTGCGGATTCCCAAGCCATGAATTACTTTCATGATGAGCCTTGAGCGAGGGGTTAGCCTGTCCAGCCACAACACGATCAGCTGTAGTAACAAATCACCTGTTAAACATTTGCCTGTCTCAAAAGAATATCTTGACTTTGCCGGAGTGAGCCATTTAGACATTCTCATCTCTAGAAAAACTGGAACATGGTACCTAGAAAGCGACCAATCAATCAAACTAAAGTATGCACCCAACACCAGCATAACATTTGCTCGAAACACGTTTAAACGTAAACTTTTAATGGTCATTGATAAGAAAATTAAAATCGCATTTACACAGGAAGACAATTCCTTTGCATATTCACAATAAACCTATCTCTATAATGGCCCTCTATGTTCTGTTGCTATTTACAGAAGCCTAAAGTTGTCAAAGCTATGGCATCGGCAGTCTTACGGCTGCACTCCGAGTGCCTAGGATGGGATGTCACTAAGGCCACCTATTCATCCAATACTAGCATGATAAGCCGCTCCTCTCGGCAAGTAGAACTCCTTGGATGGCGCCTTCTTTTCTAGATGTAATTGCAATCATATAGGGCTTGCTCTTGATACCTGCAATTGCAAAAATTGATTCAGTAAGCTCTATGTGGTTAATAAATTTATAAAAATTGTCAACAAAAAGACTGTGGTTAGCCAGATGTACTGACTTTTCAATGCATTGTCTTTTCCTTATTTTACCTTGGGGCAGGCATTAAGAGAAATGACAACAATCACTTCATATGACAAACTCTACAGTGTGCACTATAATGAAATGAATTTGCTTTAATTTCCCCCACTTTCTTCGCCTACCCTTCCCCCATCTAATTGTCCCCCGCAATGTGTTTGCAATTGACAATGTACATATTGTTTTCAACACTCTAGAGACTAATTTCCATAAAAAATTTGTAATGGAAATTGCACTGTATTCATGAAAACCCAACAGGCGAACCCATTTAATCTAGTCAATTTTCAACACCTATTACTTAACAATATTGATATTTTCCAAGCCATCAACATGTGAACTCAAGAAAATTAAAAAGACAAAATGTTCATCAGAATCCTTAGATGTACTTATAGTTCCTCTTCATAAATGCCATTTATGGCCTTTACTAAAAGGAAGAAAAGGAGAACAAGGGACAAGATAACAGTGACGTATACTTTAGGAACTACAAGACGAATCAGAACAATCCTACCATTTGAAAGAGGTTACATGCAACTGAAAGTATAGATAGACTAATCACCCAAATCTGATACAAACTTTTAATCTTCCCCTCGCCCAAATCCCCTACCAGACCCCAATCTGCTAGGCCAGGGGCTTGAACCCCTGACCTAGCGGATAGGGAGGACCTTGAAGGCCCTCCCCTGGCCAGGAATTCAGGTAATTTAAGAACTCAGTACATCAAGCTTAAAGTTTCACAAATCTGAACAACTTCCAAATCAAATGAAGCATAAGCCTCAAGCTCAAGAAAGCTAGTCCAACAACTATGGTTTTATGTACTCAATAATCAACAGCCCCTGTATTTGGTTAAGAATAAAAGATAAACATTAATTAGATCAGTTGAAAAACATTCTTGAAAGTATTATTAACAATTTGCACGGGAAGAAACACTTGCCTAGAACTATCAAACGCTTTACTTAGAAGAAAGCAACATTAACTAAATTCCAGGATATGGGGGAAAAAAGTTGCTAACAATCTCTCAATTATATTAAATTTGATTCTTGGTGCCACCAAGTGGTAAATGCTTGTTACAGATCAAAAAGGCTGTATAATATCTTAGACAAGATCTTTGTTTCCTACAAGATACCAATCCAAGGTACAACAAGCTCAACCATGGGTATCACATTTTACAAGGAGGAATACCATCGCTATTAAGTCTGGTAGAGCTATACTAGCAGTTCTTGATCAATAAGTTATGTTTCAGTAATGATGTCTATTACCAGGAACTCTCCCAATCGATATGCATGAAAGATGCTTCTAAAATTTGCTCAGAAGAATTTGTGCAATCGGTGGCAGAAAACACTTTAGGGGGTGCACAAAGGGTGTTAATCAATTCACCAAAAGATTGGCATGCATAATCTCATACTCATGAATCCTTGTAAATGCCTCCAACCAGCTCCTGTGGGAGGCCATTTTCTGGCAGGATTGATACCCATGCTATTATATTCTGTCCGCTTGCATGGCTGGACAAGTGTAACACATAAGTGCGGATCTTGTACTATCATAAACCAAATGGGGCCACCCTACTTTCCACACATTTACCGAGCTAGCAGTAAAAATGAACAGGTCATAGTTTCAGCCCCTATATCCATTTACTAAATGCACTTTCAGTTCTTCTAGCCTAACGTTAAATTTCCTAGAAGAGTAAAATTAACTATTTTAAACAAAGTCCTGAGGTGTTTAC